GAAAAAAAACATATAAAATTAAGGAGAATTAGGAGGATAACTATGGATGTAAATGGTGGTGAGTGGGAGGAATTAGAGAAAAACAAATAAATGAAAAAATTAGAATGGAATAAACATTTTTTATACCACGGTATTCCTCTCATGTATTAGGTGGTAATCCGTAAAACACCGAAATCTTTCTCTCAAAATTGTTTAAAATCACAAGCAACCATAGACCATACCCTTTTATGGCTCTTAAGGGTTGATATACAATACAAATACCTGAAAACAAACAAACAAAAAGCACTCTTACAAAATGTCATATACAAAAAATATAATGTAGATGGAATCATTAGCTTACCGTGATGGAAGGATTTCTTGCTTTGAGATACACTAGATTAGCTCAAATTATATTCTAAGAAATAATAATCAATAACAATTGCTAAAAATTATTGTTAAGAGGAAGGTGCCACAAAGTTGCTAACCTTGGCGACATTAAAATCAATGAAATTGTTATTGTTGGTCTCCCTAGAGAAAAGGAAGTTGAGTGGCTTAACATCCCTATGAAACATATTTTTGGGACAATTGCAAAAATACTACTTTTGGTATGTACATTTGCAAAAATGCCACTATGGATTGTCCATTTGCAAATGTCACTAATTATGAATTTTTAGGCCTAAATCTTAAAATTCTAAACCCTAAAAAATGTTTTGACTCCTAAAACCCCTTAAACCCTGAAAACTAAACCCTAATATAGCATAGTTAACTCAAACATAAATAATATAATGAATAAATGCTTTTGAAAAATAGCATTTTTGCAAAGATTTGAAAATGTGGTATTTTTTAGAAATAGCACTTGAAAAATGGTATTTCTCAAAATTTTTCAATAATTTTTCACATTGAAATAGAAAACAATAGAGCCCAAAATTATAACATGTCATGAATGGTACAGAAAATATTGTATAAAACCATTAGTCATACTTTTGTTATAATATCCAATACGTTATTATAAAATATAAATATTTTAATAAAATATAAATATTTTGTAATATAAAATATTGCTTTTTTATTTTTAATAATTATGTTATTTTACTATAGAAAATTGCAAAAATGCCATTTTTATGTGTATATTTGCAAAAATACCACT